AGCGAGCGTCAGAAGGCAAGGAGACCCGCTTCCCCCCTAATCTTCGTTGACAGTAAACGCACCAGTATGCAAATGGACTCTCTACGAATTGACATGCAAATCTCACAGAGCTTCTGACTGGTTCTGGGACTGTAATAACTGGAGGTGAGGGACTGTATGATTGGGGTAGGAGGAGTGACTGGAGGAGAGAGAGAGAGAGAGAGAGAGAGAGAGAGAGAGAGAAGGAAGAATGTTGTCTCTCACCTCCCTCACTTCCTTACTGAGAGAATATCGAGAGATAATCTAAACTGATAAGCGGACGACTCGCCGCCTCCTTGTCAACGCCATCTATTGATCGTGAGGGGAAGTGTTTTTCTTTTCACCGTAATTGGCCGCTGTCGTCTCCTGTCATGTGTTTGTGTTGTGTGTTTGTGCAGTGTGTTTGTGTCATGTGCTTGTTTATGTCGAACGTGTGTTTGTGTGTGTCAAGACTAGGTCACCTGTGGACTGGGCGCCAATCAGCACACCTGGTATATATATAGTCTTGACCTTATGGGAAGGGGAGGGAGGAGGGGAGGGGTGTTGGGAGGAGGGAGGTGGGGAGGAGGAGGGGAGGGGTGGGAGGAGGAGGGGAGGGGGGGAGGAGGAGGGTGTGGGGAGGGGGAAGGAGAGAAGGGTGTTGGATGGGAGGGAAAGAGGAGGGGGGGCAATGAGACGAAACGGAGGTGGGGTGAATCTAATGAACCATGGAGCGATAGATAGATGGATATGGGCGAACAGTGTGTGTGTGTAATTAGACGCTGCTATACATACGTACATACATACATACATACATACATACATACATACATACATACATTAGGTATTCATAAAGCAATACATTCATAAAGGAATTAGAATATAATTATACAAAATATATATTAGTGTTTGCATGAAATACAAGAGACCGCCTCCCCTTGTGGATAGATAGATAGATAGATAAGTAGATAGATAGATAGATAAATAGATAGATAGATATTTGAATAAATTGATAGGCAGATAGAAGTTTCCGGTTCAGTGATGCCAGATAGGTGAGGGGGGTGGGCTTTGTGTAATAATAATAATAATAATAATAATAATAATAATAATAATAATAATAATAATAATAATTAACGGTTTATTGAAAGCGCATGGCAGCCGGAAGGTTGAAAATATACAGTTACATGGGTATGGGTCACTTGATTGACAATTAATATACAAGTAACATAAGTGATACAAATATGATATATATTAACTAGGTGAGGGAAAGGTCGTACTGCAGGGCCTTTCAACACAGTGACAGTGCCAAAAGGTAAGATTGACTGGGAGTGAACACATTGATTGATTACAAGTTATTGATAATTTTTACAATGGTTGGGACTGGGTTGTTCTTATAACGATCAGTATGTGCTTGTATGGGCTGGATGCGGTTGTGGTGTCGAACTGCAATTCGCGGACGAGGGATCTCTGGTGGTAGTAGGAGCCGGTGTCGAGGATGGTGTAGAAGTTTCTCACTAAATATGCAGATGAGGTTGTGGTGATAGTGTGTATGTGTGTGTGTGTCATAAGTGAGAGAAAAGAAAGACAGAGAACAAGAAAATGTAGAGAGAGAGAGAGAGAGAGAGAGAGAGAGAGAGAGAGTCTCTTCTACATGAGTCTCGTCGCCCTCAGCTGTCCCATAACTCACCAAGTGTGGACAAACTTTCACACTTTCTGAGAGAAACCGGAGATGTGACGTCCTCCTTCCTGTGTGTTGGCTTGACGGAACTCTCTCTCAAGTGGTGTGTCCCCGTGGTGATTAGAGAGAGAGAGAGAGAGAGATAGAGAGAGAGACCACTGAGCTCCTGATCCACACGAAACTCCAATCCTGACTTGATGATTGAATCCTTTTAATCGGGAACAAGAGTAACAGTTACTGAGGAGAGAGAGAGAGAGAGAGAGAGGTAAATTTCATTATTCAGGAAAATAAACAAGAGATGCAGCACTAAATGTTCTCATGTATACGGCCTAAATATTCAGCCACCCGGGTATGTAAACAAATATATCAACTGGCTAAAGTGAATCTCTCTCTCTCTCTCACTGCACCTTCTTTCTTTGTTATTTCTTTTCTTTCTTTCTCATTTCTAACCCTTTGTCTGTCACTGTTTTTATATGTATCTCACTTAATTTTCCATTCTTTCTTTTCTTTTCTTTCTTTCTTTCTTTTCTACCCCTACTGTATACATCTACGCATTCACTCTCTCTCTCTAATTGTTCCAGGAAAAACCACTAACTGGGATTGTTTTGGACTGTCTGTGTGTCTGTAATATTTCTCTACTGTCTCTCCTTTTCTCTTTTTATATGTAACATTGGACTCTCTCTATCTCTCTCTTTCTTTTATTCTTTCTTTCTTATTGTTCTCCTTGTATTTTCTTTCATTCTGTTTGACTATACTGTATTCTCTCTCTCTCTCTCTCTCTCTCTCTCTCTCTCTCTCTCTCTCTCTGTGTGTGCGTCAGAGGTTCCCGGATCTGCCCGGGGCTCTCCTGCTTGTTGCATTACACATTCAAAGGTAATAATTACTTTTTTAACGTAAACATCGACTTGTGTCCCAAATAAAGGCGATGCAGTAATTACATTTGGTGTTTACGAAGAGTAATTACATTTTTCATAATTGCATTGATCGATTGATTGATTGATTGCATTGGTGATTTTATTTTATTGCATTTATTGATTACATTGAGTGATTAAAGTTTCTGTAATTACATTGATTGATCACTTTTTTTTAAATTTTGATGGTTATCTTTTATGATTACGTGTTATGGATTAGGTTGAGCGATTATATTCAGTGATTATATTAAATAATTCAAAACGCTACTTCGGAACCCCTACTCTTACAAAATTCACATCCCTCCTTCACATTCCTACTACACATCTCTCCAACACATACCTCAACACGTCCTTCCTACACATCCATCCTCCACACATCCCTTTGCACATCCCTCCAACACCACCTTCACATCCCTCCTACACATCCCTCTACACTTCCCTCCTACACCACCTACATATCCTTCCTACACATCCCTCCTACACATCCCTCTACACTTCCCTCCTACACCACCTTCACATCCCTCCTACACATCCCTCTACACTTCCCTCCTACACCACCTACATATCCTTCCTACACACCCCTCTACACATCCCTCCTACACCAACCTACACATCCCTCCTACACATCACCTCCTTACACACCAAGACTCTTACGTAACACACCACGACCCACATAATCTGAATACAAAACACATCCCTAAATCACATCTCCATATAAGAAGGGAGGGAGTAACCCGCCTCCCTACACGGCCTTATTTCACCAAGTTTACACGACTAGTTTATAACCTTGGCTGATACAGGGACCAAGTTCACCGTCTCTAAGCTTACGGAGAGAGAGAGAGAGTCTTATTATGTCTCGAGTTTTATAGTGTAGTGAGTTTTAAGATTGGATCGGTGTGTTGGGGTGTGGTGAGGGTGTGGGTGGGGGGGTGGGGAGAGGGTGGGAGGGGTTGGGAATACGGTGTGTGGTTGTGGGGAGGGGGTGGAGAGGGGATGGGGAGAGAAATAGAGAGGTCATTATGGTGATGCAGAGGGGAGGGTGGTAATGGGAAGGAAAGGAGTGGGCGTTATGGTGTAATGGGAATATTCCAGTCATGTCATGGAGGAGAAATTTCCAGGAATCAGGGATGTTGTCCAGCTTAAGTGAATTTCTGCCAAAGAGATTCTAGTGCGTGTTTCAACCAGTAGAATGACTCTCTCTCTCTCTCTCTCTCCTGTATACACATTATCACAAATCCTCATAAGTCATTCATTTAGTATTGCATCGAAAACAAACACGAAACGTTTTGGCCACAATTTACGAAATAACAATAATAAAAATAATAATAATAATAATTTTAGTTGAGTTAACGTTTGCATTGTGTTAATCTTGTTTATGTATTTGTAACTGTACCGTATGTATACAATGTATGAGTATTGGCGTGCAGGGAACTAATACTAATTATTATTATTATTATTATTATTGTTATTATTATTGTTGTTATTATTATTATTATTGTTATTATTATTGTTGTTATTATTATTATTATTATTATTATTATTATTGTTATTATTATTATTGTTATTATTATTATTGTTATTATTATTATTATTATTATTATTATTATTATTATTATTATTATTATTATTATTATATCCGTTTTTGTGTCTTCGAGAATTTTTTTTCATCCTAAAATATCTGTTCACTCGAAGCTTGCAACTGAGGCCTAAGGTCAGTTTGTAACAAGGCAGCTGATTGGCTGGCGGACGGACACCCGAGAATTCACCACAGTTCTTTAATATTTAGTCGATTGTATTTATATTCTGATATATTAGTTAAAAGCTTCGAGTAAACAGTCTATAGCTTATACGCTTTAGTTGTTGAAGCACCTTAATACATTATAACAGCAAACCTGAGAAAGCACCTTTTTTTATTTCTGTTGTGAATTATTTTCTTTTTGCATATAATTATCGTAAATTTTATCTGATTTTTCTTTCTCTATATTTTTAATCTTCCTTATTCAAACTTTTCTTTGAGTGTTTGTTTCTCTGTGGAGGCAGAGATAGACCCCTAACACCTTCCTCCTTCCTTGAGGTCATGTTGTCTTGTGTGTGTCCGCCTGTCCTCCTCTGCGCAAGCCCCGCCCACCACCTCCTCCTCCCCACTACCTGACGCATAATACCAGTATGTTATATAGTATCTGTCAACACACAAGTCTATCTCTCTTTTAAAACCGGTTTAATGTATAGTTTAATATATAAATTTAAGCCCAACGTATAGTGAAAAAAAAGCTTCATTGTGAAAATATGATCTGTATAATGCGACCTGTATTAAGTGAGGAATTTAGTGTACGATATCTTGTGACCTGGAATCGGCAGCGACGGGGACGGGAGCTCAGATCCAAGCAGTCAGCCTTGGCAGTTTATCCCGGTGCTCCGGCCAGCTAAGGTGGTTGTGTGTATTGCTGTTCTGAACCGTGCTGTGTGTCGCTCTTAGTAGGGTTCAAATCAATCCCGTAAAGTAAGATAAGTCTAAGAAGTAACACTCATTGACCAATCCAAGGTCATTAAAATAATCTAAATGTTGAAAGGAAAAGTTTATGTTAAGTTTCTCAAGACAATATATCCGTAAAAACTACTTAGTGAAGAAAGTTAGTTGCTGGTAAGGTTGAGAAGTGTCGGACAGACTGATCGAGTGATGTAAAAAATATTGGATAAAAACTAAACAAACATTAATTTTAAGTTTGTATATAGATAATAATAACAATGTCACACCACTCACTGAAGACTTTAATTGATGGTGATTGATCTCGTTATTATGTAAGTTATTGATTGGTTATTCATTTTTTTACGTGTTCATACCTGTAGTTCACTTGTAAACATTAGTACTTTATTCACTCTTCTGCCTATTCGTGTTTTACACTTTTATTCATTTATTTCGAGTTGTTTGTACATCTAATTATTATTTATTATTCTATTTCTTAATTTATTTTATTTATTTATGTAGATTTTTATTAGAATATGCATTAGTTTATTTCTCCCCTTTGTTTATTTCTTGATTCATTATTTTTTTATTTTAATTATTTGTTTTACTACTTTTATTTATTCGTTCGTATGTTTGTGTATTTATCAATTTATTTATTTATTGGTCTACTTATTATTTATTGTTTATTTAATTTTTTGTTTATCCCTATTTTTTCCTTTGATGCTATTTCATGAATATCTGAGGAGGGAAGATGAATAAAAGCGATCCTGAATTATTTATATATTATCTGAAGGAGGTGTTTGATTTTGTAGATCAGTGGCTGTCTATCTCTCTGTCTCATTCTCCCACTTCGATCCATTCACAGGTGCTTTATCCATTTTCATCCACTCACAGGTACTATACCCACTTTCATCTACCCTCAACTACTATTATCCACTTTTATCCACCTACAGGTACTATATCCATTTTCATCCACTCACAGGTACTATACCCACTTTCATCTACCTTCAAGTACTATTATCCACTTTTATCCACCTACAGGTACTATATCCACTTTTATCCACGGTACTATATCAATTTTCATCCACTCATAGGTACTACATCCACTTTTATCCACCTACAGGTAATATATCCACTTGTATAAACTCACAGGTACTATATCCATTTTAATTCACCCTCATCCAAGCGTAGGTGCCACCTTTAACCTTATCCACCCACAGCCAACATCCACTCTCATCCATCCACAAGCGTTACACCCACCCTCACCCTTCCACAGGCTATACATCCACTCTCATCCATCCACCACTATTCCATCCACCCACAGCCACGACTACATCACCCAACAAGGCGCTACATCGATTCTCCTTCACCCACAGACACCCAGGAACACACACACGTACACACACACACGAACACACACACACGGACCACACACACACGTACACACACACACACGTACACACATCTCAACACTTATCCTATAATGTAAGTGTGTTGAGATTATATGTATTTCAGAGCTTCACCAACTAAGGTTACTAAACGCGAATTATAGGTCAGTAAATGCTACGTATACACTGACCGTCAACAATTATATATTAAGTGTATCTTGTGCTGCAGTTTATCCTGAAATATATACTGAACACTCCCGACCTTGTTAGGCACGGTGCCAATCAGCGAGGAGAGTGCCACGCCGCTAACTTTATCCAGATTTGCAAGAAAGACAAGAATGAAGAACTCCGATTATTTTTTAAAGTTTATTAACATTATTATTATTATTATTATTATTTGTATTATTATTATTATTATTTAGTAATTTGACTTGATATAAATAAGTGTATTAAAGTAAAAAGTGATTGGATAGATGGTGGCCACAGTTTTAGCGGGCCACAGCTCTCTAGGGGACACAGTTCTAGCGTGGCTACAGTTCTAGCGGGCCACAGCTCTCTAGGGGACACAGTTCTAGCGTGGCTACAGTTTTAGCGGGCCACAGCTCTCTAGGGGACAGTTCTAGCGTGGCTACAGTTTTAGCGGGCCACAGCTCTCTGGGGGACACAGTTTTAGCTGGCCACAGTTCTAGTGGGCCTAAGATTTAGCGGGTCACAGTTCTAGAGTGGCCACAGTTTTGATGGGGCCACAGTTCTAACGGGACCACAGTTTTACCGGGCTACAGTTCTAGCAGGCCATAGTTCTAGCGCGCTATGATTCTAGCGGGGCCACTGTTCTAGCAGGCCAAAGTTCTAGTGGGCCATAGTTCTAGCTTGACCATAGTTCTAGCTTGACCATAGTTCTAGCTTGGCCACAGTTTTAGTGCAGCCACAGTTCTAGCGGGCTACGGTTTTAGCGGTGGCCACAGTTTTAGCGGGGCCACTGTTCTAGCTTGGCCACAGTTCTAGCTTGGCCACAGTTTTAGCGTAGCCACAGCTTTAGCGTGACCACAGTTCTAGCGTGACCACAGTTTTAGCGGACCACAGTTTTAGCGGGCCCCCAGTTTTAGCGGGCCCCAGATTTGATGAGGACGAAGTTCTTTAAAGACCCAATTATAAGGAATTCCACCCCTAGTAGTTAAGTCATTTAAGTTAGTTGGGGCCTGTTGTGACTGGGGTCCATTTGGCCTGATGTCTCACTCCCCTCACCCTCTTCCCCTCCCCCCCACCCCTCACTCCCCCCCCACCTTAAATAAAACACAATCACAAAACACATTCAATATATGATTATGGATCTCACAAATACATATGTGATAATTGCTTTGTGTTTTATTGTACAAATTATTAGAGTAATTATCAGCCATTATTTTGGGGGGAACTAGATTTATTTACGGGCGTTGTTTTCGTAATAATTTCAGGGTTGTGTTAACGAGATATTTTCCTCTATAACCGAAGTTTATGTATAACTGAAATCCTTTAATCCGATTTTATGTACATCAAAATCGGTTCTTACGGATTTTTTTGTACTGGAGTTATCTAATGGAATTCTATCAAGAGGAAATCTCGAGCTGGGAATTTATCTAAGATGGAATTAATGAACGTAATTTTTTCTATCGTGTTATCGCATTTTAGGAATCTGTCAAGTGAATTCGGTAAACAAGGAATGATTTATTTACCGTAATTGAATGCTTATATGTAATCTATTAACCCCTATCTGTCTATTAATAAATTCGTCTAACCGGAATTGATTTCATCCGATTTGCTTTTAGCCGGATTTATATTAAGTGTTTATACTAACATAAGATGAGGTGTTTTTTTTCTTTGGGTAAATCTTTCTGGATAAACATTTAACATTTTTAACCGGAAATTAACCCAAGTGAATTATTTAAAATAGTAGATTAAAAAAAAATTTGGCTGGTTTTTGAAAGTTAAATTAGGTTAAGTTAGGTTCGGTTAGGTTAGGTTAGGTTAGGTTAGGTTAGCTTGGTTAAAATAAGTTAATTTGGGGTGATAGGTTAAGTTGGGTTAAGTTAGATTAGGTTAGGTAAGGATGGGTTAGATTAGCTTAGGATGGGTTAGGTTAAGTTAGTCTGATTTGGACCACCTTTCTTATGGACCACACCCGTTAATACACCACACCCGTTAATACACCACACCCGTTAATACACCACACCTGTTAATACACCACACCCGTTAATATACCACACCTGTTAATACACCACACCTGTTATGAAGTAAATTAAAATAAAGTGTCCGAAACTGCTTTAACGATCATCACAAGACAAATATAACGAGAAAAAAAAATATCCCAAATTAGTTCATTCTCACTACTCTACCACACACACACACACACGGTACGAGAAGCCATAATGTCTGAAAAATATGTCCCAGTGTTTATAAGTGGGTTTTATGGCGTCCAAACTGAGCAACTATTGGAATATGACTATTTTTTTTAAGGGCAGGGGAATGAGGGATTGAATTTTTAGGGGAAAGGGGGGGATAAGGGATTTATTTTAGGGGGAAGGGGATAAGGGATTTAATTTTAGGGAAAGGGGGATGGATGAATTAATATTTTCCAACAGTATTTCAAAACCTTTCTTGAATGTTTCGTGTTTATAGATACCCCCCACCCCCCTCCCTCCCCCCCACCCCCCTCACCTCCCATCAGTCGAATAGTTTGTTGCTATAGTGTTTATGATTTACGATTTGTATGAGAAAACAAAATAAGTTAATATATCTTACTATTTTATTAAAGGTTAGAAGAATATAATGTTGAATTCCTGGGTTTCAGTAATTAAGGTATTTAAGATATTTTTTTTGGGCGGGTTAATAATTGTACGATTGTTATTAACGATTAAATATTAAGAGAGATAGTTAAGTATTTCTCTGTGGGTTTGTTTACATACATTGATCGTTTTGTTTACATACGTGATCGTTTTGTTTACATACGTGATCGTTATGTTTACATACGTGATCGTTTTGTTTACATACATGATCGTTTTGTTTACATATGTGATCGTTTTGTTTACATACGTGATCGTTTTGTTTACATACGTGATCGTTTTGTTTACATACAAGATCGTTTTATTTACATACATGAACGCAGTGATGAATGGCTCAACTCGTCTCACACATTTAAATATTCAAGCATTACTCAACTTCCACACCACACACACTAGGGTAGTAGACTTGTGTCATGACAGATAATTAATATACATGTTAAAAGGATTTCATGACCTCATTACCAGAGGTCAAAGGTCAGATATACAAACAATAAAGAAAAATAAAATTAAAGAATTAACAATTATAGCGAAAAACTTATCTTAATATATACTTTAAAATATACGATATATAAAATGTTATAGTGTATAGTATAAAATTAATATACCTGAGAACACCATATATATACACTTTGAGGATCATACATAAGTAAAATCCTCATCATCTTAACTTAGAGGTTTATTAAGGTTTATTGTGGTTTATACCTGGTTTAGTGGCCTCGTGATTCAATTAACAACGTGGAATAGTGTAACTTCGGGTTTAATACTTGTTTTATAAGCCGATGGCGTGACTGACAGATTAAACTAATATGGAATTTTTTTTTTCATTTAAAGTCAACAGTTTTAGTTGTTCATTTTGTGTGCTTACATTGTGTGCGTATTTGCAGTGTGTGTGTGTGTGCGTATTCGGTGTGATTACATTGTGGGTCTATTTACTTTCGAGCTACACTGTGTACGTATTCATTGTGGCTATATTATGTACGCATTCAGTGTGGCTATATTATGTGCGTATGCTATATCATGTGCGTATTTTCAGTCTAGCCACACTGTGTACGTATTCAGTGTGACTACATTGTGGCTATACATTTTGTGCGTATACATACTGCCCGTATACATATGCATTATATTATA